ATCTTGAGAGTAAAGTTTTGGTTGAGAGCAAAGATATGAAATAGATTGCTAATGCTGCCTAAGACTTGATGCTGTTCAACTAATTTATATTTTTAGTATTAGATATTTGCTTTAATATATATCTATATTTACTTAAAGTTCTTTGCCCCAGTTCTCATTTTCATATATTTTGAAGACTTGCCTTGTTTAGGCTTAAATTATTAAATGTGTTTTTATGTTTCTTTTAATACTTGAGTTCCCTGTCTACTTCCTGTTATTCACATAAATTTTAGCCGCCTAGTTGCCTAGACTGCTAGCAGATAAATATTTATGCATTGAATTACCAATTATGCTATTATTATATTTTCTCATTTTTTTTTTTAACTTATGCTCTTTATTTGATAAAGTTTAATTCTTATATACAACTGATATCTTGTAGATTTATTTTTAAATATTTATTTGTATTTTTTTTATTGAAGCTTATTTGTCAATGGCCCTAGCTGGATCTATCTAGAGGAATATGGCCAGCTGTGCGTATATCTCCACGGCCACCAGGAGGCCCATTATGGAGATGTTCACAGCGCAGTAGACGCGTCGCAGTGAACGTCGGCGCTTACGCTGACGCTGACTATAACATTTGGCAGCGAGCCGCGCTCCAGGCTGCAGATCCTGGCGACWGCCGTCGACGTCGTCGTCGTCATCGTCGTCGTCGCTGCTGCTGCCGTTGCCGCTGGCATCGCTTCCGCTGGACGTTGGCTGGAGATCRTTCCCATTTGCTGCAGCTCCATTGTGACATGGCGGCCAATGTCAAACCGACGCCAAGGACGAACTGCTGTCGTAGGCCACCAGCAGGGAGTCGTTCTCGTCGCTGCCGCTGCCCGCGCTGCGCTCCGACTCGTTGATCACCTCCAGCTGTGTCTGGGGCCGACTGATTTTGTACTTGTTGTGCCGCTTATTGATCAGCACGCTGCGTATGTTGTTGTTGTTGCGTCGATGGCGYTGACTCTTGATACGCACTGCTGCGGTGCGGGGACGCGATTTGCCACCGCCGCCGCCGCTGCCGCCGCCCGAGCCCAGCATGCTGCAATCGGCATCATCCTGYTGCCCCAGCTCCAGCTGCTGCTCATCCTCATCCTCATAGTAGTCATAGTAGTCATCGTAGTCATAGCCCACGTCATCCTCAGCCCCGTCATCGTCGTCGTCCTCGTCATCGTAG